CACACACACACACACACACACACACACACACACACACACACACACACACACACAGAGTGCTAATGTAACGTAATAATACCCACAGGTGCAAAGTAAATATTTACACATACTAATTTACAATCTCAGCTTGCAGTAATGTAACGTTTTAAATACACGCCCAGAACCTACTGTCTAAAATAGCGGTCACATTATGTGTGTTCTGTTGAAAGCTGCTGTGCCACTGATTCAGGACTATACAGCCAGCACCACTCAAACTGAGCAGCAGAGCAGTCTCCACGGGATTCTGCAGGGCAAACGTTCCTGCACTGGAGAGAAGCAAAGTAAAGACACAAAGGGAGTAAATGTTGTCTACAAACCTTTACCAAGCAAACAGTCAAAAATACTGCCAAGAAAACAAAAACTTGGAAAATGCTTTAGGAAGGCAAAACAGAAATGGAAAATTTAGTTAGTATTTCATTCATTCTAACTTCTTTAATACCTCCTTTGCCTGCCAAGTTTGGACTGACGGGGAACACTGGCCTTGTTGTGAACCTGGTCAAAGAGCAGAGCCATGTGGCACTCTAAGGAAAAAAACATTATTGCCATCATTAGTTGGCAACAGAACATTCAATACTTTGGGTAATTTTAAGAAAAGTCTCTTGCTAAACAAAAGGATAAGATATATGCTAAATGCATGGCATCTTTTTACTTTTATTTTAATTACGCTGTTAAGCACAATGAATGACCAAGGTTGTGCTTAAAATGTTTACATTTTTGAAATAAAGTTGAGGGGTGTATGATGTATTTGAGAGATAACTGATTAAAGCTGCTGTGAATAACAGAGGGACAGTGCGTGTTAATTAACTAAAACATGACATTTTAGCCTCGGCCCCACATCTGACCAACTCTCAATCTGATTTACAAAAACAGAAACATGAGATGAAATATGGAAAAGTTATGACAGAAGGTTAGTTTAAGAGACAAAGAGGCTTTTAGCAGGATTCTCCTGCACATGCTCGTTGGACACTCCATGTACGTAGAAGCACACAGGCACTCGACCTGTGGCTGTGAAAAACTGGTGCTTTTGTCTGCTACATTTACTCCAGCTGACAGAGACAGTAATGTTGGTTTCCAAACCCTTTGGCTTTGTAGCTGTTTCATTTTTAGTATGGCAGTAAATGCATTCAACTCTGAGGTTGTTGTCAAAGCAACATTAAAGTATTTTTGTTCTTTAAAGAGTCTTATTTTGTATGAAGTACTGTTTTGTCAGGATGACTGCAGTCCAGGACATGTTGTTTCCGTGTGGAGTAAATTATATTTTGCCATATGAGCACCGCCCCCTGACCTTTTCATAGGTAAAAATGGAAAGCCAAAGGTGGTGAGAGCAGAAGCGATCCTCATACAAAGGGTACACCCTCATAGATTTTATGGCAGCTTCTCAAGGCTGGCTCATTTAAGTTGGACATTCAAAATTGACAATTCTTTCTGAAAACCACGGATACAGTCACCACTGTATCAGCCTGTATCTGGTTTTAATCAGCATACAGTTCAAATGTCAGCATCCACATGCACACGGCACCTCCGCGAGGACCCCTCTTGATGCTCAGTTTTATGTAAAGCTACTGGAACAGCACACTGGGACTTCTAGAGAATGCCTTTTATAGAGAAGACCTTGCTTATTTAGATAGTAAATATTACAACAGCATAGCTCCGTGATTGCCAGTGATACCCCTCAGCCAGTGTTGGGAAGGTTACTTTTAAAATGTATTCCACTACAGATTACAGAATACATGCCCCAAAATGTATTTTGTAACGTATTCCGTTACATTACTCAATGAGAGTAACGTATTCTGAATACTTTGGATTACTTAATATATTATCATGCTTTTTACAACTACATGAATGTACTATTGCTGTGTGATTTATTACTATTACTGAAGGTTATTCGACATAGCAATACCAACTAGATTTTTAAATCTTAATATAAAATGAGTAACAGTAGGGTGGACATTAGGTAAGGCAGCACTGTTTGCAGCGATCTCGTATAGAAAACTATCCTGCGTGTATATAAAAAAGGTCTGCTGCTCCGAACCGTAGTAAAGGGACCTCTGGTTAATATGTCGGGTTCGTGTCGGGCTTGTAGCTGAAAACTAGCTTTACTTTGTTGTCTGGGTCAACTTTGCTAGCGAGAGACAGAGAGAGGCATTGAAAGGCTGCTCCAATGGAACTTATTGTTTCGGAGGAAAACATGAACACAGTGTACAGTCGAGTCTTAATAGCTTACTTACAACTGGGCTACACTGCCCATGAGGCTACATTCCTTAGGGCTATGCCTGTAACACTCTGCCTATTGCCCTCATATTAAATAATTTTTTGAACAACAATTTAAAAAAATATTTCGTCACATCATTATGCGCAAGTAGAGGTGAAATGGGCCACAAGATTGAGACCCAGAAATTAGAGCCTCTTAATGCGTTTTGTTTGGGTTTCCACCAGCGTGGAATGACCAAAAATAGAGAGGGGACAGCCTAACATACGAAACAGGAAAAGACCGCTGTGTAATCCATTTATTTTAACAAAGTAACTGTATTCTGAATACCACCTTTTTAAATGGTAACTGTAACGGAATGACCACACATACACCGCCCGATAGAGTGATGAGAATACCCCGTCAGCCTTTTACAACTGAGGGATAAAAACATACAAGCTACATACATACAAACATACATGGTGCTACATGTCCTCAATGACACCACTTTCCCCGAAAAACATAAATTGAACAAAACCTAATCACATCATGTTGGCCAGTTAAGCAGTAACAATCGACTGTGTTGTGAAGTAACAGCTGCAATTCAGACCACTGTGTCATTCACACTATAGTTAGCAGCACTAATGTCGGTCTAGTGGGTGCCACATATGTCCGGCCTGGGGCAGGACATATGTGGCACACTGCCAATCACATCTCAGATTACCTTTGCTTGCTGGTGAAGGAGATGAAAGGGGACGTGAAGGTGAAGCACAGTTGTTTTTTAAAAAATATCTTTTGAAAGTGTAAAAAGCATTTTTAGTGCCAGTTATCATTTATTTAAAAACTGCTGAAAGGGAGGATTGAAGAAGCCTTCTATAATCACTCAGAATGTCTCCTCACAGTAAACAGATTACGACAGGCAAAAGTTCCTGGGATTAGACTACCCTTCTTCTACAGTTTCAACTCCTGAAGAAGAACGTGTAAATGACCCTTGTTAAATTTATTTTTACAAAACATTATTTCCATACAGTCAATTAACAGCAGCCTTCCCAGTGAGCATGACCCAGTATTAAAGTCAAAATCATTAATCCTCATTATGTTTTTGATATTACTTTATTTATTACAGGCACTCAGTGAAGTTGAGGAAATGTTATTCCAAGTATTAGCTAGTAAAACCTCATTGATTTCTCACTGCAGTGCAAGGATATTTATATTTATACTCACTCAGGGAATGAAACATTGACAGAGTTAAGGAGATTAAGCCCACTGCTCCATTTACTGTTTACATAATCTACAAAGCTGCTTCAAATTTTAATCATTCATTCATTCGTTTGTTCATTCATTCCAGTATTTTGCCTGTTGTTTTCACCCCAGTCTAGCACCTAAAACACGTCAGGAAACTCAAAACTTTGTGTGATTTCATGAACTGATACATATAAGAGAACAGATGACTGTTGTTTTCTGCCGTGTTTTTGTTGTTGGTATTCTCTTATTGCTCTCGAATCTCTTCCTCTTCCATGTGTCAACTTCACTCCTCTGTTCCTTCTCGTTTCCCAAACCCGTCATTGGTGCCTTATTAACACAGTATTACCTTATCAAACATCTTCCAAGTATGCCAACCATGTCACAAATTATTTAGGTTATCATTTCATGTATATAATTAAAATACCATTTTTCTTTGCTTTGTCTGTACTAAGAACAACCTTATGAAGTTCATGTCAGTGTGACAATGACATTGGCTGGTTCTGTGTCATTCCACTCATTACAGTCTTCGTATTTTTTAATGCTCACATGCAGTAGTAGCCATAACAAAGTGATGAATGTACTGTGAGTTATTAAATTATGAGATGGAAGCAGTAAATGCATTGTCTTTACATTCCTTTATAAATACTACAATCACAGACGGGAAAATGAGTGTAAACGTACCAGACAAATTGAGGGATGCTAGCTTGTCAGGTGGTATGTTTTCCATGAAGTGTTCCACCCCCAGGTAAATAAAGCCACTGCATCTGCACAACATTTGCTCCATTTCTGACAGGCTTAACAAATATGAAGACATGTTAGCAAAGCAGAAGTGACTGGTCGTGTGTTGAATATAACAGATACAGTTGGCTGTTGCTGTGCTCAAAGAGCCAAGAGGGAAAAAATGGTGTATAACTTTGATTTGCTGCACTCTAAGACTCACCTGGGTGTCTGTTTGCTGCCCATGAAGCCCTCCCACAGATGAGTTACATGCTGGGTTTCCAAAATCTCCTTCATCTTCATGCTCAAACTGGTCCCTTCTGTGTGATATAGTGTATATTATTCTAGACATCTTAAACTTCAATCAGAGCTCCCTGACCTGCTGTCCATCTACACCAAGCGGTGCAAGTCCAAAGCTAGGAAGATTATGATGGACCTCTCCCATCCCAACAATGGACTCTTCTCACTGTTGAGGTCTGGGAAGCGCTTCCGCTCCCTTAAGGCCAAAACAGAGAGAATGAGGAGGAGCTTCTTCCCCCAGGCTATTCAGGCTCTGAACCAGGTGTAGGACTGGACTCTCCCAAACACGTCACTATAAGACTGGACTCTCACACACGTCACCACACGCACCACCACACATTTCCTATAATCCTATAATTCCTATAATTTATAATCCTTATCTTTATAATCTCTTCTGCTATTTGCACATTCTTTACTGTAAATTCCTAAGTTAATTTGTAAATTTTTGTAGTAAATTGTAAATATTGTAAAACTTTTCTTCTGTCATTTAATGGTCGGGCATTGTACAGCTACAAGCATTTCACCCCCATGTCATACTGTGTATGGTTGTGTGTGTGTGACAAATAAAATTTGAATTTGAATTTGAATCTAACCTACAATGACCAGTTGCATGTCTTTGAATATATCCATCCATCCATCCATCCATCCATCCATCCATCCATCCATCCATCCATCCATTCTCTTCCGCTAATATTAACAAATTACTTACCAAAGTGGCCATCATTGTAAGGATCAACGAGATCTTTAAAAGGCATGTTAAGAAGTATAACGGACCTGAATTAAATGAACTGAATTAAATACCCAATCGTATATGTGAAATTACATATTTCTGTTTAACAAAAGTAATTCTGAAAAGATACATTTGAAGTTACGCATGTCCACTGGAAAGGTGTTAGAAGGCAGCACATGACTGGCAGGTACCTGGGTAAACAAATTTTAGTTTTTACAGCTCAAAGCAGCTAAAAATGTATACAAAGTGGAAATAAATAAATGACATATCACATAAATGTGCAAACATGCAAATATTCTTTTGTACACACTTATATGTGCCAACTAATGTATATCACGACTGAGAAAACAGAAGCAGAAAAGAGGGTTTGATGAAAAAACAGAAGTGATGCACAACAGGGGATAAATACCCAGAAGCTTGAACTAGGTAGGATCTTTATGAAAACATTATGTAATTGATTGAAAACCACACTTAAAAGAGACGCGGGGAGCAACTTAAATAATTGCCAGTGCTGACAGGAGGTAAAAGGAATATTGCTTTCTGTATCTGGCAGGCCCAGATTAATTTACTGAACTCACCGCTTTGATGACTTGGCTTTGATCTCCCCTCGTTTTAGTTCCCTTGCCACCTTTGGTCTCCTTTTTGTTGTCACTTTCAACTGCCACAAACAGGAAGCAGAATTAATACATACACTTGTCTGCAGGGCAGACTACACAGCTTTTGGACTGGTAAATAATTTTTATTTTTTTAAAACAACTTTCTCAGAGACAGCAAAGTCATTGGCACTTATTGGTGACAGAAGAACCAAAGGTTTCCTCCTGGCTGCAACGCCTTTGCAAAGGAAAACACTTGCTATTAGCATGTGTTATCATTTTCAGTGCATTACTCAAAACTGATGCTTTATACATTATAAATAAGGTAGAAAACATTAAGTTTATTTTTATTATTCTGTTGTTCCATTTTTAGTGTCAGGCCATTAGCAGGCTGTAGAAGAAGGCTCCATCTGTTGGCTGACCAGTCCAACACTATTCCAAAGTGAAATCTGTTCAAATGTTGCAAAGATACTGAATGCAACAATTCAACTAATTTGGCATATCCCAAACTTCCATTTGATCTTTTAGGAAAAAGCAATTTTGAGTAAAATAACAAAGAGAATAAAAAATAAAACCGTAACATCTCTTAAAACGAAAGTAGGTAAACTACCTATGAACATCCATTCTGATATACACATTTTAATAACCCAACCGCCTTGATAACAAACGTCCTACTATAGCATGTACTCAAACATGTCATTAAAGTCAGATCTTTGCATAATGCACATCTCAGAAAAACGCAAAGTTACTTTTCATTTTTTTTAACGATTATAAACATGCATCCTCATCAGGTTACGCCCTTTAACCCGAACATCATTTACTAAAACTTATTTATTTAATCTATTCATAAATATCAAAAACTAGTTCATGCATTATAGTCCTTACAATCCTTTATTATCAGGCTAAGGCTCCATGAAGAGCCATCAGCTGAACCGAAAAGCCAAAATAAGAGTATTAAGAGAGACTAACAGAGAGACATATTTCTCCCATATCAGCTTGTCTCCAATCCTGAATGTAGAATTCTTCTTTTTACATACAATGTCCTGAATAATCAGGCTCTGTCGTCTCTTAAAGAACTCTTAATAGCTCATAATAATCATTCCGATAAGCTCTTGTGTCATTTATGGTCCCTTGAGTTTCCAAAAGTAGACAGTATTGGTTCCCCCTCATGTGGAACATGGACAGGATCTGCCGTTTAAAAGTTTGCTTCAAACGTTTCTTTTTGATAAACCTTGTACAGTGGTCCCTCGTTTATTGTGGGTGTTACATTCCAAAAATAACCCACGATAGGTGAAATCCACGAAGTAGCCAACTTTATTTTTTACAATTAATATAGATGTTTTAAGGCTGTAAACCCTTGACTTACACACTTTATACACTTTTCTCAGACAGGCATTAACATTTTCACACGTTTCTCTCTTGTTTAAACACTCTCAAAGTTCAAACCTTCGTAGAAAAATAAGTCCAGTATTATAGAACGAACCAAAGATCAAACCCTGTTTTCAGGTCCAGAACATGGGAATAGAGCAGCTGCCAGAGAATCAATGGTACAGACGTAGAGGAAGCAAGAAGAATGAGTAGAGTAAAGTTTGACTAATCTGACTGTTTGGTTTCACCTTCTAATCCTTTGACATTGACACTGTTATGCTTGTTGTCTTCTGCTAGTGAAGATCTATGTAGATTTGACAAGCTGAACGCATTCTGTACTGTACAGGAGACACGACACGAGATTGATTGAAAATCTACAGCTGATCAGGATGCAAACCACAATGTAAAAAAAACCAAACAAAAAAACCATGCAAAACTGCACCCCCCCAAAAATATCTGCAAAATAGCGAGGCTGTGAAAAGTGAACGGTGATATAGTGAGGGACCGCTGTAGTTAGGAATGAATAACATGATCCTGAACCTTAGTTATACTGTTGTGGGCTCTGGCGTGTTGGTCATTATGCACTGGAGAATTTTTAAGCACTCACTCTTTTCACTTTTGTATTTACAATCTATTGCATGTCATTACATTTTCTTTTCTCTTTCTATGGTCCATCGTTTCTTGGCCTTGTTGTTTGTTGTTGCCTCTCCTCTTTTCTCCCATTTCTTTATTCTCACCCTCCCAAGGATTGAAAGTAGATGTAGTAGCACTTTATCAACCCCACAATAGTAGTAGTAGCTGTCTCTCCCTGACCCTGGTTCTGCCCCAGGTCTTGTCCTGTTAGAAGGAAGTCCTTCCTTCCTAACATCACCAAGTACCTGCACATAGGAGACCATTGCCTTAACACAACTGCACCTCATCTTATAATTACTTCAGTATGATTGAATAAAAATGCCTTTACTCTGTTTCAAATGTTATGTTAATATTTTGACTGCATACCTTTCATATCAGGATGTTTTTAAAGATCACACAGCATCACTGACTACATGCTATCAGTATGTTCTACCTTAATCTAGACCACCCACCGCAGTTTGCTGTGACTCCCATAGTTAATTATAAATCTTTCTGGCAATAAAAAAAAATTCTAATATAGAAAACTGCTTAGCACCATGGTTTTTTTCCTAAGTGAAAATTAAATGTAAAATCTGACTGTACAGTTAAAATCACACAACCTGATCACTCAGTAACACACACAGTAAAATCTTAAGAAGCAGTAAGAACAGACATGCGTGCAAAAGCATGTGTTTACCCCCCTGAGGGCAATCTTTTTATAGTTTGTGCTAATTTGTCCTGTGTGTACTTCATGCAAAGCAGTGCACAGAATAACAAATAGCCCTTTCAAAAGTGGTTTCAGGCGCTACATCTTCTTGACACAATGGTAAACTGTAGATGTCAAAATTATGGTAATCATGGTCTGGGGGAAAAAAAGCAAACACTAATTTTTTCTGTGGTCTGATCGTCACCCGTGTGTTTGATCCAGACATCAAAAGATGTATTAAGAAAAGCTTGTTGTAATATTTTCCCATCTGTGGCATACAAGTCTCAAGGGATACACAGACACACACATACATAAATAGTAGTTTAACAGTAACCTTTGAACAGTGACTCAAGCGATGCAAATGATTCAACCTTTAAAAAGGTACAGATGTCTGCAGGATCCCATTCAGTGCTCTTTTTACCTCCTTTCTATTCACCTATTCCTTTCCAAAATAGTAAAGTGCTTAATCCCCCAAGCACTGAAACACCATCAACCCCCCCAAAAAAAGAAAGGAAACAACTGGACCGGGCACGATATGTGTAATAAAGTTGATTAAAATGATGCTCATTTGTTTCTGTTTTTACTGTATCAAAAATAAAAACACAATGTGAATACTGTCCTAGGCTTCATTTATTTGCCTTATAGCTTTGCAGCCATGTTGGTTGATTTATCTGAAACAAAAACCTTAATAAATGTGGATACAATTTCGAAGGGCGAAAGAGAAAAAAATGACAGTGTGTCAGTTTCGGTTAAGGTTCTTTCTTTTTTCTGCCTCTAAACCCTGCAATCAGTTCATCTTCTGGCACGCTGAGCAAGTCAAGACAGTAAGTGTGCAACAGTTTACGAAAAACTTGACGTGGTGCCTTTTTGCGGACCATTGTGGACCATTGACTGTGTCTGCTGATTACAAGCAGGAGACACAGTTAATGGACATCTATTTAAAAAAAGAAAAAAAAAAGGCTGTGGTGTTCACTTCACAGACGTCTTCATGAAATTCTGCATGACAGCAAGATGTGAAATGACCTTTCTCTCCTGAACAGATTTCTATGGATGGCTGCTTGCAGTCTACATCCTGATGTCAAGATACCTCTGCAAATGTAAGCTATTTTTCACTCAGATAACGAGGAATTATGTGATGTGAGGCAAAGGTCCGATCGTACACCTATGTATGGGTGGGTTTAGGCAACCCAGAAAGGGCTTCCTTCATTTATAGACCTCCGCTTCAAATATATATGAATGTGTGTGTGCGTGAGTGTGTTTGAGTGTGTGTGGGGTGTTTGTGTCCTCGACTATAACAAAGTCAAACTTAGGACCTTTTTAATAGTCCATTAATTTAAATTAAGGCCCATGGTTTAGCAATGCCTCACAGTCACATTGAATGGCTGGAGTATTGCAAATATGTAGCTGTAGTCTATAAATGTCAGATATAAATTCTTTATTGGGCTACATATAAATACAATCAATTTTCACATGGCTACTGGTCTTAAAGTTGCAGGTCCCTTGGAAAGGGTAAGAGATTTAGTTCGTGCTTACAAATATTTTAGAGTATATACATGTGTGAATGTATTACCTTTTTCTTCTCTCTTTAGGCGACTGTAAAAAAGCTGAAGGGAAAAGTCCCGAGTCACAGAACTCAGGCTATCTTCTTTCAGGATAGACATGGATTCCAGAGGAAGCTCCAGCAACCTCTTGTCTGCCAGTACCACCACATACTCCCCTGGTTCAGTTGGCATTTTAACTGTATATATCATATACATAAAAGTACAAGTTTCACATGCATCACATATTTTGTGACAGTGTAAATGTCATAGAGCAATATACTCCCAACTGTACAGACATTATAAGGCATCAACCTGTACAGTTTTTAACCATATGTGCAGAACTAAAAGTATTTAAAAAGAAAACTGTAGATGGCTTGATAATTCCAACAATGTGCAGTAGAAAAATCCCACCAAATTTTGGAATAATGGTTCATATGATACAGAGGAATCATGCCTTCAACAAACAGCACAGTTTGCAGGCTGGCTAGTAAGGCTGCATTCCTCTTTCTTTCCTAATCATCAGGATTCCCATGAGTGTACTGCAACCTAGCCACATTAATAGCCTTAAACAATATGGATCTTTATGCTTTTAAAAAAGGCATAGGCTTCAGTCACTTTGCATACTCTAAATGTGCAGAGGAGGTAAAATTGGTGTCATGCTCTGAATATTCTTCCTATGACATGACTAAAGGTAATTACAACCCTTTCAATCTGGATTTATGACAATTTAATGCTTTTTAAAATCCTTATTCGATGCAAAAATAACCATATGAACCTTAGGCTGTCAGAGACACAGGCAAGCGTATGTTCAACAGCTCACTGCTCCTTTACCTGAGCTCTCTTTCTCTTCTTTCTCTTTGGTTTTGGCCATTTCAGGGGTTGGCAGAGATGCAGCATCTGGCCTGAAGATAAGACCAGGTGAGGATCAGCAAAACTACACTTATGTAGAGGCATTTAAAGTATAAACCATTCATATTATCAGAATTGGTCAGACATTTGTTCCATAACTAAAACCCTGTGTACATAAACCATGGCATAAACAATACAAAAGATTCACATACACTTGAATTGTACATCATTCAAACACTCCATTCAGTAGCTCCTTTTATAATTGAGTTCAGATTTCTGAGCATTAAAAAAGTGTTAAAGTCTCCTTCCCTGGGTTAAAAAAACACATGTAGGGAATATGTAGTTGTTAGGAATTAAAGTGTCTGACATATTCACCTTAAGCAAGAGAAGTCAAACTGTTTGAGGAGTGGATTTAAATATTCTTCCATGTCTTTTACAAGTTCTCTGAAACGACATGCTAACTCTCCTGATAGTTTCTGTATAGAGAAACAAGAGAGAAAGCAGGGTGAGGGGTTTTAGACCACTGATCAGTTTCACACGTACATTTCTTTCAGTTAGATGTTGCTTGGGAATAAAAGTTTTCCCAGTAAGTAAGAAATAGACATGACGTAAAATTAAGTGCAGCGTAGTGAGTGCATTCGTCGAGTAATAGAGTGAAAGGCAAGTCGTGGCTTTAACAGGACAGACATGGAGAAAAACCTGATACTCCTCAGAGGCCTCCAGCCTGTCCTCAATGCTGCGCAAAGAGTCTTTATTGAGGAGGGCATGTCTTGTCTCCTGGCAAAAAGCCCGAGTCTGTTCCCTCAGTGCCAGTAGAGCCTGCGGGCAGACTGAAACCTTGGCCATCCCAGAGCACGTCAAGCTACCTGGAACCACAGAATGACACACAATCAGACATGCATACTCACAGACGCTGAGTACTTACTGGCTTTGTAATTGGTCCCCGTGAGCATCTCCCACACCCTCCTCTTCTTGGTCTTTTCATCTATCCTTTTCTTTTCCTCACTGCTTGTTGTTTAATGATTTTTCTCACATTCTCAGGCAGTGCATCCAGCCCTTTGCACCACTCTTACCACTTCTTATGTCAATCAAATCCCAGAAAAGGTCATGAGTAAAGTAAGTAAAGCTATATGCTAATATCATGACTTATGAACTTATTATGACTTATGAAAGCTGGTGTTTC